CCCCAAAACCCCAAAACCCCAAAACCCCATATTGACAAATAAAAGGATCTGTGGGCTATCTATAAAAATAATAAATAAAAGTACCGCAATATTTAATGGATCTCAATCCCGGAAATAATCAAAACTCAGCTGCTAAAGAAAACTCTTAAATATAGTCTCGAATTGATTCTTTCTTCAGGTCAGGTGATAAATAGAGTGCATAAATATCTAGTTAAACATCTAATAACTCTTAATCTAATAGAGATCAAGCTCAAGTTGAGAATATTGTTGAAGTTATCAAGCATCAAGCCAGATCTGGTTAGATAAAAGGTAAAAAGAGCGAACTGCATGATGTGATGGCTATTCTTGAATATAGAAAAACTAAAAATGGAAAGTCAATCGAATATAAAATCTAATGGGCAAAGCATGAACCTACCTGGGAAACAGAGAAAATTCTTAGGCCTAATCTAGATGAGCTTTTAAATGCATATCAATAAACAAATAAAATAATGAGCAGAACTCCAGGTAGCAGTTAGTAAAATCTTATCTAAACTGAAATTGAATTAAAAACAGAACAGCCTAAACAGGAGGAACAAATTTAAAGAATAGAAAAGGTTGCTGAAAAGTAAAAGGAGTAGACTATGTCATAATCAAACAGTGTTTCTAAGAAAGATATCAAAGAGGCTAAGAAAAAAGAGAAAGAAAATACTAGTACTAAAAAGTCAGAGTCAAAAAAACAAGCAGCTGCTTCAAATTAAATGCAACAATAAATAGCAAAATAAGATATTTATGAGGAGGAGAAATCCGAAACAGTCATTCATGTGTCCCCTTCAAAGAAAAATATGTATGAAGATATCGACAAAGCATTTGTGGAGATGGTAGGCAATTGGAAAAAGCAGAAGAGATAGGAAAACAAAGATGTATATAAATGCTCTGAGTGTGATTAAAGAATAGATGTAGAGAAAAAAGGATCTCTTTACGAAGTAAATTATATCGGATAGAATTTGCATGATCCATATGATCTAGTTCATACTCTTCCATTTTAGGAAAAGATTGGTCAATCTGAGTCTATTAAAATGCATTCTTCCAGCGAATCATTCATAAAAATTAATACAAAAAATAAAGTTAAAGTTTCACCAGATGAGCTTCTTGAGTTAATGAACTGCCAATAGCCAATAATGTTCAAATACTTTAAGCCGTCAATAGATATTCTTACCTTCTTTTTAGCCAGTATAAATAAAGAAATTATTGTTCCAGTTACACCAGACATCAAAAGAATAACAAGAAGCTCTAAAAATGTGACTCCTTGCTCTAAATTCCCAGAGGAGTCTGTTTAACTGAAAAGTAGTCTCAAAAAAAGAGAATAAAAAGACGCTGAAAAAAAAATTGCAAAAGAAGAAAAAGTTGGATAAAATCTTGACGATCAATTTACAAATGCACTTGATTCCTTGATGGATGAAAGTCAAGATACAAATAAGGAAGAGAAGCCTAAGTAAATAGAAGAAAATCCTAAATAATTACACCCTAAATCAGAGAAGAAAAATAAAAATAAAGAAAAAACCGAAGTATAAAAATTAGAAACTGAAATTAAGGAAGAAAGTACTGGCACTTCAAATAATGTATCAAAGAAAAGAGTGCAATTTAATTAGATAGTTACTTAAGCTGAGTTTGAGAAAGAATAGTCAGAAGAAAATAACTCTTAAAATAACAATCAAAGCTAAGAGGAATAAGATAATGATTCAGACAATGAATACAATTTTGAGGGCATTAGTTCTGACGAAGAAGAATAAGAGTCAGGAAATTTCTTAAAATACATGGAATATGAAAATGAAAAAGCCATGAAAGAACGCCATTATTTAATGAAGGAACTTAAATGTAAGGAAAGAAGAGGAAGTATCTTTATTGACAAGGTAAAAAAAGTAGTTACTGTAATGAAAAGAGCTAGCGGAAAGTACGATTTCATAATAGAGTGGGAGTATTGTAAGAATGATAATATTAAACCCTCGACTTCCCTTGTTAGAGGATCTCACTTTGTTTTTTCAAATCCTTTGCTTTACAGAAGGTTTATGGAAAAAACATTTGTTGATACGTATACTGGTACTATGGTTACAATTTCAGATTGATATATTTATTTTTGCAGGTATATAATAAATTTAACCAACATAAATATTTGCATTATAATGACTCAAAGGGGTTTTGGGGTTTTGGGGTTTTGGGG